AGACTTTGTCTCAAAAGATAAATAATAAAATAAAAGGTACCCCAGCACTGAAAAGGCAGAGGTGGGTGGATCCCTAAAGCTGAAGACCACTGGCCAGTCAGACTAGCCAAATAATAATAAGCTATAGGTTCTTTGAGAGACTGTCTTTAAAAAATTAAGGTGAAGAACAATTGAGGAAGATATGTGATGTTGACCTCTGGCCTCCATACACATGCACATACAATATGCATATACATGTACACATGTACACACACACAGAATAGCTGTGTGGCTACTGTTGTTACTAGGCAGATCACACAACTGGAACTTCCTTTTTTGTTGTTTTTGTTTTGTTTCAAGACAAGGTTTTTCTGTATAGCCTTGGGTGTCTTGTACTAACTTTGTAGAGCAGGCTGGCCTTGAACTGACAGAGATCCACCTGCCTCTGCCTCCCTGAGTGCTGGAATTATAGGCAGTACCAACACACTAGGCTGGAAATTTCTTACACTTTAGGCTTTGGCTTTATAAAATGAACTAGTACCATACTTTATTAATAGTAAATATTTGATACTTTATATATAAACTTTATATGCAAGAATTACCTGTTTGTTTTTATTTTTGCTTTTTTTTTTTTTTTTTTTTTGAATCCTCACCTCCTTTCTCTTCAGGATTTTGGGGCAATTGTTATCTTGATTTTGAGAAGACAGAAAAATGTTACAAAGTTAAGAATAATGTATATTATGTATATTTTAATAGTCATTTTACCTCAAACTTTCTGTTTGTTTTAAAGTCTCCCTATGAGCCAGGCGTGGTGGCATACACCTGTAATCCTAGCACTCAGGGAGACAGAGGCAGGTGGAATCTCTGTGAGTTCGAGGCCAGCCTTGTCTACAAAGTGAGTTCAGGACAGCCAAGGCTACATACACAGAGAAACCCTGTCTCAAGAAAAGAAAGTAAGTCTCCCTGTGAAGCCAGGTGTTGTTGCACGGCTTTAATCCCAGCACTTGTGGGGCAGAGGCAGGTGGATCTCTGAGTTGAAGGCCAACCTGGTCTACAGAACACATTCCAGGACAGCCAGAGTTGCACAGAGAAACCCTGTCTCAAAAAAAAAAAGTTTCCCTATGATACCAACACTAACATTAAACTTGTTACATAGTACATGTTGGCCTCAAAGTTGCCATGTAGCTCATCTTGGCCAGGAACGCATGATCTTCCTGCCACAACATTAGAAGTACTGACATTACAGTTATGTAGTACCTACTACACTTGGCTTGCAAGGGATGGGGGGGGGTGTTTTTTGTCTTTATATTTTATTATATAGCCACTCAATGGCATGGAGCTCACTTTGCAAACCAGGCTACCTCAAACTCACAGAGACCTGCCTGCCTCTGCCTCCCAAATGCTGGGATTAAAGGTGTGCACCACCACACCTAGCCCATACCTGACTGTTTTACTTCTAACTTTGCTTTTGAGACAGGCTCTTGCTATGTAGCCTATACTAATATTGAACTCATTGACCCATCCACCTCAGCCTCATGTGTTGGAACTAGAAAAAGACATATGCCACCATACCTGGCTGACACCTCTAACTTTTAAAAATATTACCAAATCTATACCTATGTCAATTTACCTTTAGAAAGATAACATCAAGAGTAAATCGTGGGCAGGTAAGGGAAAGATAGCTCAGAGGGTAAAGGCACTAGCTCCTAGGCCTGAGTTCAATGTCTACAATCTACACAGTAGAAGGAAAGAACTGACTATTATAAGGTGTCCTCTGACCTCCACATAATTACATACACACCACCCCATACGCATATACACAAAATAAATTAAAATGTAATAAAATTTTTAGTTTTTGTTGTTTTTGTTTTTTTTTTTTTGAGACAGGGTCTCTATATGTAGCTCTGGTTGGCTTAGAATTTGCTATGTAGACCAAGCTGTGCTTCAACTTAGAGATCTACCTGCCTCTGCTTCCTAAGTGCTAGCATTAAAGTCTTGTGGCACCATGCCCATCTTTAAAAAAAAAAAAAAGGAATGAAATAAAAAAATTTAAGCCAGGTAGTGGTGGCGGCACCGCATGCCTTTAATCCCAGCATGTGGGAGACACAAGCAGGTAGATCTCTAAGAGTTTGAGGGCAGCCTGGTCTAAAGATTAGCAAGTTCCGTGACAGCCAAGGATACACAGAGAAACCCTGTCTTGAAAAACTAAAACCAACCAACCAACCAAACAGAGAGTAAACTGTTTTGGCTGAGTAGAGTGGTACACACTTTTTTAAAAAATCCTACCACTCAGGAGGCAGTGGATCTATCTCTTTGAGTTACGTTAACCGGGTCTACATTTTCAATTTTAATCTAGGTTTTAGTAAGGTTTAGTCTAGGTGGGGATACATAGTGAAACCCTGTCCCAGAAAAGAAAAAGAAAGAAGGATGGGAGAAAAGAAGAGAAGAAGGCGGCAGTATTCTTGAGGCTTTAGTTCAAAGGAGAAAGTTTATTTTCCCTGTGAATCCATACAATGGAAGCAGTGAGAATTGATACATCTCCTATCAACCCAGGAAATCCCTTTACTACTGATAAAGGTTCTCTGTGGGTGGAACTCACACCCTTTGAGACATCCCCTAATTTCCCCTCAGCCTCCAAATCCTTGTGTGCACTACTGCCCACACTTGTTCCCTCACTTCATCTTATTCCTGGATCCCAATCACATCCTAGCTTCCCTCAATCCAAACTGAAGAGCTTGATGCAGCTGTGGTAGCAGGAGCAGCTCCACAAGTTCGAGAATCAACTGGTACACATATTAAGTTCCAGGCTAGTCAGGGCTATAGAATGATACCCTGGAGAGGGGAAGAGAGGGAGGAGAGGGGAGTGGGGGGAGATGGACCTGGAAGAGATAAAAAAAAACTTGAGATTGCCTAAGATTTGAAAAGCTTCCTTGCTGGATATTTCTTGGAAATTTATTATTATTGTGTGTAAGTGAGTGCAGGCACCCACGCGCAATAGCACATGTGTGGAGATCTGATAACAACTTTCGGGATTTCGTTCTCTAACATAGGTTCCAAGTATAAAATGCCACCAGTCTTGTGTAGCAACTGCCCCCCCTACACCCTAGCCATCTTTTTAGCACTGTTTTTTGGAATTACTTTTTTTTTTTTTTTTTTTTTTTTTAGATTATTGACTATTCTGCTGAGGGAGACTTCAAAAAAATAAGTTACAAGTCTACATTTTCAGCTGGGTATGGTGGCTTGTGCTTGTCACCCCAATATTCAGGAACTTAGGTAGAAGGATTATTCCAAGTTTGAGGCCAACCTGGGCTATATCTAGTATGTTCCAGGTCATCCTGGGCAACAGTGTGAGAGCCTCAATCACAAAAAAAAACCCAAAATAAGAATAACAGATAACAATAAAAACAAATAGAAAGGTCTCTACAATCATTCCTTGTCCTTTAATATCACTAGAAAGGAAGGAGGTCCATCCAGGAACCTCCTGCCTACACCACGTTTGGAAGATGCTCAAATCTTCTTTATGAAAAGGCATAGTATTTGCACATGACCCACACATATTCTCCTGTAACTATTCATCTTTAGATTATAATACTAAGTAAATGCTTTGTAAATGGCTGCTACTCTATTATTTAAGAAACACAAGAAAATCTGTAACCATTCAGTACAAATTTTCCTTTATATTTTCAATTCACAGTTGTTGAATCTGTGAATGTGGAATCTGCAGATACAGTCAGGTAACCATTTATTTATTTTTCTGGGTTTTTTTTTAACCCTTTTCATCACTTAATTGTGTAGGGCTTTTAAAAGATTTTTAAAATTTCATGTGTCTATGCATGGGTATGTGCATGTGACTGTAAGTGCCCACAGAGGTCACAGGATTCGGATCCCCCTGGAACTGGCCTTATAGGTGGCTGTGAGATACTGGGAATCAAACTCAGCTCTTCTGCAAAGCAGCACACACTCTTAGCCCCCACATTGTCTTTTAAGCTTCCTTTTACCAGGGATTGTGGCTTAGTGGTAAAAAGCCTGCTCATCACAGGAGAGGTCCTGGTTTCAAGTATCCCCAGTACTACAAAATAACACCAACAAAAGCAACCTACTGTATGGATCTGAGCATAAGGACTTGAACCTACAATTGCAACAGTGAGGAGGCTGGGGGAAGAAGATGTTAAGTTTGAGGCAAGCCTGAGTCATAATTTTAGAATTTTTTTTTTTTTTTATCTAGCCACACACCCAACTTTCTTGTCTTCTCCTTTATACATACATTCTTATATGTAGTAGGAGTAAACAATAATAAAATCACTATGGTCACCAAGAATTTCAGTACATCATCTAGACTGGTCTGGACTTTCTATGTACTGTAGGCTGGTCCTGTACTTGCAATCCTCCTGCTTCAGCTTCCTAATTGCTAGAATTATAGGAATAACCCACTACACCTAGCTAGAATGTCCTTGTTTACTTTGAGATCAGTCTAGTCCATGGTGGCCTAGAATTCACTTTGTAAGTCCAGTCAGGCTTCAAATTCATGGTCATCTTTCTACCTCCATGCTGGGATTAGAGGTGTATAAGGCATTAGAGCCAGCTTAGAATGTCATTTCTTTTTTATTTTTGTTCCTTTTCTTCAGGGGGAGGGTTCTAAGACAAGGTTTTGTGTAGTCCACGCTGTCCTCCAATTCACTATGTAGGTGAGGATGACCTAGAACTCCTGTCATCTGTCTTCACCTGCTCAGTGGTGAGGTTATAGGCATGTACCATGGCCAGCTCATCTTTGCCTTGGGAGAAATGAACACACCTCTATTTCTCAGCTATTTGGAAACCACCTAATGTGAAACTGGACAGTTAGTGCCTGGTGAGGAACAGAATACACATGCATGTGCTTGTTTCCAAACATGTCAAACACACAGCGATGTTGGGGTGTGGCAGGGCTGAATCACTCTTCCATGATGAGGAGAGAGAGGACACTTACGTGAAACTACAGAATATAAGGTTTATTTAGGGAAGCAGTAGCAATTTGGACAGTTTCATTTGTTCTCTCCTCCTTTAGCCTCCTGATACTCAATGACACCACATGCCCAACCATATCCTGGTCTCTGAGATTTTAAGGAGGTCACCGAGAGCCTACCTAGAAATTCAATTGTCTGCTGTTACTACTCTCCCATAGCTTCTTCCTCCTCTTCCTCCTCCTCCTCTGTCCAACTCAGGTCATCATCTGAATCCTCAGGTTCTTCCTCATTCATGTCTAGCAAAACCCCTGCCCTAGCCTTCTCAACTAGTGAATCGGGGTGCTCCAGCTGGGCCCAGGATCCTGGCTCAGCCTTAACCAAGGAGATTTCAACCCGTGATGGCATCAAAGAGACAGAGCTCTGCTCCACGTTTATAACCTGAGGAGGAGGGAAAGACAGAAAGAATGAAGAAATCACAGGCTTGGGATCAGAGTGGTGATGAATAAGAACAGAAAAGGGGGAAGACAGAGGAATAAGATGGGGAAGGGTGGAGGGAAGGAAGGAAAACCAAAGCTGTTAAAGAGAAATCTCTCTATTTTCCCACTGTAACTCTTTCAGTATACACTCTGTCAATTTAATCTGGCCCTTCTTTTATTCTATCTACCTCCCTTGCTTCTGCCCGCTTCTCTTCACTTACCCCCCAGAGCTTCATTTGTGCTTGGAAAACACGGTTACCATCAAAGACAATGTGGACATGAAGCTAAGAGAAAAGAATTATAAGGGTAGTATCAATTCCAAAAGGTCAGAAAAAGTCATTACTATAGAACCACATGAGAGGTGAGATCCACAGGTCAGCCATTCAACCCCAATGTAGTAACTTCCCATTCTTCTCTGGAGACCATGGAACCTAAAGTGTGACAGCTTTCAGCATTTCTCCCCAGAAGATTACACTACCACCAGAGTTCACTGGGCCCTGTCCTGGCTCAGATTTATTCCTCACCTCAGTTTGACTGGCTTTCACCCAGTTGAATGCGGGAAGTGGGATCTGGCCATACACAGTCACCACTACCAAGGAATCTGTCTGGTGCCAATCATGGCGGCAAGATGCTGGTAGCTAAAGAGAAGTGAAATAAGGATGGTAAAAATCAACTCCTAACACAAGAAGAGTTTCATGCGGGTATAAAGACATAAGAATCCTCAGGAAAATTAACTATTTAATATGGCCAACAGTCTGAGTTATAGAGGCATAAAGAGCAGAATCTTACTTCATTTGTAGTAAAGGAAGATGTTAGCAAGGCCAACCATGAGGTACTGGGAGGAGAGTGTATCTTTGTAATTGGGTCCTAGTCAAGTGTTTAGGAAAGGTGGGGGCTTACTTGCTTTGCCCAATCGTGTCTACCAATTCTGCATCCTGGCTGTGCTAGAAATGCCCCAAAGTCCAGAGTCTGGATCCCACAACAGCTCCAAGACTTCATCCTGAAGGAGAAACAATTTACTTGAATTCTAACGTGCCCCACTCCAAACTCTTACTCTCATCCATATTGAGAGAAGCCTGCCCAGTCCTCCTTACCCCTCATGAAACCGAGGCACCCCTGGGTGGTAGATGCATGGAGTAGCATCACTCTCAGAGCCTTGGTAAACCTAACAAGGCCAAAGGGGAATCAGGTCATTCAAATTCATGCCTATACCCACACATCCCTTAGGTATCTTTCAGCTACATGCTTGAGCCCACAAAACTCTCACTCACAATATCACATCCGGGGTTCTGGCAGCTGGAACCAGTCCAGATCAGACTACTGTCAAGTCCTGAGCAAAGGAAACAGTCAGTAACCTATTTCCCCCACTTACATAAAATTCAAGTCTTTGAGACCTGTCCTATTAAAGACCTACCTACCTGCTCCAGGTTCCTGGTCTAGTTCTTTCTGTTCCAACGCCACTCCCAGTGCTTGAGATATAGTAAGTGGTAGCAGTTTGGGAGGCATCTCTGACCTAGAGGTTATAAGCAGGCATTTAGCCCTGATCCATTCATCAGAATTACCTGCTGTAGCACCATTCCCCTACCCACCTATCCATGGTAGTAAAATCAAGTCTGGTGAAGGTGAGCCAGGGTCAGAAAAGTCAGGTAGCAACTCCATTGACAATTTTTATCTCTGGACATTCATATTTGAGAAGCCTGGAAAAGTTCCCAGGGCTTCCTTTAAGGTTGGATGCTTCTATCCTTCCCACATTTCTCTACAGAACTATCACTTCTTCATCCTCTGCTTGACTGTGGACCTAACGACTTTCTTGTTTGTATAAATTATTATCTGCAACCATGCTACTACTACTTCCTCTCTGTGATGTAAGATGTAGCTTTTTATATTTTTGTTTTGAGACAGGATTTTTCCATGTAGCCCTGGCTGTCTTGGAACTTGCTCTGTAGATCAGGCTATATTCAAACGCAGAGATCAGCTTGCCTCTGCCTCCAAAGTTCTGGGATTAAAGTGTGCACCACCACACCAGGCAAGACATAGTTTTTTTACGGGGCTGGAGAGATGGTTCAGGAAGCAGGGGGCAGAGGGGTTTATTGCTCTTGCAGAAGACCTGGGTTCAATTCCCAGTACCTACAGCAGGTGGCTCACAACCACCTGTAAATACACACACATACATACAAATAAAAACATTAAAAAAATTAGCTTTTTAAGTAAGGCATTGTAGCACTCACTCTGGAGGCAAAGGCAGGTAGATTTCTGTGAATTCCTACAGTCAGGGCTGCCCTGTCTCAAAAAGAAATTGAAACAAAATGTTGAGCTTTTTATTTATTAAAAATAATAAATTTTTAGTTTTAGTTTATTATTTGTTAATAGGGAATTAGTTTAGTGTAGGGACATGCATACTACAGTACGTGTGGAGGTCAGAGGACAACTTTGGAAAGTCACTTATCTCTTTCAGCCTTTATGCAGGTTTCATGGATCAAACTCAGCTCATCAAGATTAATGTACAATCAACTTTTCCTGTTGAACTATGTTACTGGCTCTTTTGCTGTTGTGTTTTGAGACAGGCTATCACTTGGTAACCTAACAAACCTGGAACTCACTGTATAAAATGGACTAGTCTCAGACCTGTGGTGAACCCCCTGCTGCCTCTGCCTCCTAAGTGTTGAGATTTACAGGCACAAACCAATATAGACAGCAATTAATTTTTTTTCTGTAGCCCAGGCCAACTCAATATCCACAAAAATCTTACTGACTCAGTATTCTAAGTACTGGGATTACAGGAATGAGCCAATAAAACATGTAGCTATAAAATTATCTTCAAGCTCTTCCCAAGAGAAAGAGATCAACAGAGATATGTTGTTGGGACATGAGCAAGGTACAATGATACACATGAAAATGTGAGAACAAAACCCATTATTTTCTATACTAACTAATGATCACTAAAAATGTAAAATGTACAACAAAAATCTCACTTCATTCTCAAGTGTGGTAGTGCACCTATAATCTCAAAATTCAGGAAGCTAAGGCAAGAGGATCAAGTTCAAGAGCAGCCTGACAGCCTTTCTCAACAAAATGAAACACTACTCTGCTTTATACTAAGCATTTAAGTAGATTTGAGAGTCTATCTATTCCATCATCCTTACACTGTCTTATAGCTAAGGGCTTTTCTTGACACAATTTTCCCAACATAAAAGATGAATTCTGAAAACTAACACGTGACCCTCCTCATATTGCTAACCCCTAATTACCAAACCCCAATGAGTCATTATTCCAAGGAAGCTGCATGGATGTAAGCACGAGCCCCATGTTTACTTAGGCCTTTCTCGGAGCAAGGTCTCTGCTGACTTTGGAATTGTATTCAGAGGTTTTTGCTCCTGAGCTGAAGTTGAGGCAGGGCCATCAGGCTGAGGAGGGACCTCAGGAAGCTTCTCAGCACAGTGTGGTCCCACAGTACAGCCCTAGTACAGATAAGGAGATAAGGATTAGAAGTAGAATTCTTCAATAGGGAGCTGAATACAAGGAAGTACAGGGTTTACCTTGATGTTTAAGAACTCAGAGAAATCTACAGTTCGCTTTCGGCAGCAGGACCAACCCTGATAACAAGAAACCCAGATCAGCTTAGAATTCCTGGGCATATTTCCTTAGGAAATATACTTGCTGGGTCCCCATCACCTATTCCTCACCTTAAGTGCATCATGAAAGATTGGGACCCCAGGGTGATAGTGACAGGAATCTGTAGATAACAGCGAAAGGGCGGGGGGGGGCAGGAAAGAGAACTATGCCAGATACCATTCCTCACATTTTCTCCAGTTCATGTTAATGGCATTTCACAGAATGTGGAAAGTATACCAGAATGAAGATCACCCAGACCAATTATTATATTATGCCCAATTTTTGTTCTCCCTGTTCCCAATGGCCAGCCCCACAGCTGAACAATCCCTAACACCCATTCACAAGCCCTGAGCTCATTTACTCACCAGGGAGATTGGTATTGGGGTCAAAGTGTTGCCCACAGCCTTTGTTATGGCAGAGCAGAGACATGGAGGCGTTGGCTGAGCTTACACAAAGGGTATTTCAAGGAGTCTGGCTGCTGAGTGGGGAACACCTCTTACTCTGAAGGCTTTTAGCTGCCTAGAAGGGCCAGCTGTTTCTATCTTTAGTTCAGGAGGCATCCACCTCCAAACATGGGCAAGGGAACTTCAGTTGGTCTTTCCAGCCAATAGGATAGTGCTCCAGAGCATTTTAGCTCTGAGGCTCAGAAAAAGCCCTTGGAACTTGGATGAGGTCAGTAACTATAGCAGTTTTAGATGTTGCCAATTCCAAGCCTCTGACATACCAGCAGCTGCTCAGAAACAAAATTCTAATTAAGATCTCCCCCCTCCCCTATGAGGGTATGGGTACAACCCCTCCACTTTCTGCCATTTGGAATAGCTTGCCTGCCATTGCCATTACCTCAAGGTAGTGCCAGTAGCACTGGTACTAGCCACACCACCTTGCATCTCAAACTCCCCTGCCCATGTCTGCCTGATGTTTTTATATATCAGTCTAAAGGTTACTAAGATTACCCTTATGCAGTCTACTGCACACATGTCCCATGGAATTCCCCCCTTCAAAAAAAAAAAGCACAGAAAATTAAAAGGCTTCAAATGTATTTTAATAAGGTGATGCTGCATTACTGCTCCATTTCTCAGAAAAATTTCAAATCGAAGGTATCAGGAACAAATCATAGGACACCAATAAAAAATGCACAGCATAACTACCTAAGATAGGCAAGGCTAAGAGCTACTGTCAGACCTTCAACACACAGCAACCCTGTTCCCAAGATTGTACCAGACCTACCAAGAAAAGCTGTGAACATCATAGACACAAAATGTCATTCATTCTTGACTAGTCCTTACCCAAGAAAAAAAGGCAACAAGATTTTTAATGATATACTAAAATGAAAACCTCTAAGAGAAATTGTCTTCCTTAGGACATGAAGGGGTTATATATGAGCTATAACAGAACCGTATGGATGCTGTAACCTCTGTGGACATGTCTGAATTCTCACCTGGGAGTGAACAAAGGAATTGGGCTAGGTCATTGGAGGATGTTTAGGTTTTGTGATATATATATATGGCAGTGCCTCAAGGGTTGAGAGGAATAAAATAGTAATTAAAATATGATGGAGAAAAGCAAAGGAAAGGAAAAGAAAGCAGGAATGATCAAGATTAACAGAGCTGAGTCCATCTTCCTATAGTTCTCCAGGCCCTCAACTAGCAATATACTTCAGGAATGCACCAGCCAGACTTGATAAAGCAATATACCAGACTGATTTGTTAAATATCACCCCTCCCTTGCCCTCTGCCTCCAAGCATACTCCCTAGAGTAGCACAGGCAGGGAAGACCTATCTATTGGGAAGGATCCCTAACACTTTTCCAGGGTAGAATTCTGGCTAGTCCAAAAAGGGCTCTTCTTTTAAGAGTAGCGGGAAACTAGACACTGCAACTTTATTTAATATCGGCGGCGTTTATTTGGAGCAAACTCAGCTCCTGGAGCTGGACGGTTGAATGCAGGAGGAGTTCCACCAATTGCTCCAATTCCTTCCATTGTAGCAGCTTGTCCAAAACGTTCAGTTGTTGGTGGAGTCTTAAAAGAGAAAGAGAACAGTGTTACAATTGAATCTCTTTGTCTGCGGCTTCTGGCTAGTCTATGGTCTTCCAACTAGAGGCCATTTCTACTTAACTATTAAAGACTCCTTACTGCTAGGGGCAGGCAACCAAGTCTGTTTAAAGCTCTAATAGTGAACACTGAAAGGAAAAGAAGGCTGTAGTTATGGCTCCATTCAGTCACCTAGCTTTCTTCTGTGTTTTTTTTTTTTCTTCTTCTTCTGTGTTTTATATATAATTGAAATTCCTAGTTTGGATAGGTTCTAGCCAAGTACTTTTTTTCCTGAGCCAGGAAGAACAGGCAATCCTTCTCTAGCAACCTTAAGTCTATCCAGTTTGGGCCTAGTCCATTTTAACATTACAACATGAACGACTTCCAAACTTTATGAACCACGAGGCCCTTGCACTCACATCTGTCATCTTTCCTTGACTTTCCCTCCAATGAGCAACATGTAGGTATAATACATTTATACATTTGGGAAGGAAAGACAGGAGCATCCTGGACAGCTCCAGGACAGCCACTACAGAGACTCTATCTCAAAACAAAACAACAAAAAAAGCAACTTACTTACTGAGGATAGCAACCGTAACTTAAGTCAATCAGTCTGACAGTCTGACAGAAACTGTTAAAATAGATGATATACTGAATTTTCTCAAGAGTAAAAACTAAAGGACCAAAGATATGAAGTGGCAGATCCTGGATTCAATTATCTGCACTAAACCCTAAAGATCTTAGGTTACATATTATGACTAACAGTACAGTAGCCCTGAAGATTGGTATCTGTACCAAGAATCATAGTAAACTCAGAGGTAGGAAATGCTGGGCAGACAGTCAAGTAAAGTGCTTGTTGAGGACTCAAGTTTAATTCCTTAGCATCCAATGTCTGGGGTGGGGATAGGGTATAGTGGCATGAATTTGCAATACCAGCATTGAGGATTCAAGGACCAGAGGATTCCTGGGGCCCAAAAACCAGTAAGCCTAGCCTAACAAGCAAGTTCCAAGTCATGGATGGCTCCTGAAGAATGACACAAGCAGCTGACTTTTAGCCTACATTTACATGTACACATACCCACAAAATTTAAACCCCAGGTTAAGAAGCTCCTCCTACCACAATTTACAACTGCTATGAAGCCCTTCAATTTATTACCAATCCCAGAGTTCCATCTGGCATCATAGTGGCAGGTCCCGGAGGAGCTGGAGTACCAGTTGGCACAGGAGCAGGGGGCATGGTACCTCTGTTGTTCATGCCCATAGCACCTAAAGCAGAACAGTATGATGACCAAAGGGGAAGAAGATTATCAGTCTCTTCCCCTACTGAAGGGACAATTCAGAAGGATCTAAAGACTAAGATATGTTAACAATCCCCCACTCCCAGCTTAAGAGCCCTATTGTTCCTGGAAAGGTCAAGCCACTTAAATGTGGACTAGTTAGAAGCCCATAACTCACTAGAGATCAGATTTTAAAAAGAAAACAAAAAAGGCTCTGTAAGTATGAGAAGCCTAAATCCCAGGTCCATACATTAAAACCAGGCATGGCAGTAAATGCCTTTAATCCTAGCACTTAGGAGGCAGAGGCAGGCAGATCTCTTGGAGTTCAAGACCAGTCTGATCTACACAGTGACTTCTAGAACAGCCAGGGCTACAGACCCTGTCTCAAAAGAACAACAAAAAACAGGGCTGTACATGCTTGCTACCCCTGGCTTTCTGAGGCATAGACAAGGAGATCAGAGTAACTCAGCAGCCAATGTAAAAAAAAAAAAAAAAGCCAGGCAGGCAGTTAGTTCTTTGGTTACTGGATGCCTGCTGTTCATTTCTGTAACTATCCTTTATCCAGACCCCCAAAGGTCAACCAGAACTATTTAATTCTTTAGTCCTTACCTCCCATAGCCATTTGGCCCATCCGAATCTCTTGTTCTCTCTGGGAAAAACAAAAAAAACATAGTTCAAAACAAGTTACTCTTTTACAATTCACTGATGACAACACAAAGGGAAGTAAACAGTGATGACACATATGCCCCTCTTGCCATGTGTAGAGTGACTCCAGGTAACAAATTAGACTTTTCTATTAGGAACAAAAAGAGGTGACGAGGAAAAATAGCTAATTTCTTCTTAGGGTTGCAAACCATCTGGCTATAAGGGTAGCAGTGGATTAGCTGAAGTCTGCTACAGGACTATTTCTCTCTCATCATCTGATATAAAAAACAGTGGTACTGGATTTTCATCCTACATTTGCTATAAGGCAAGAGCTCTCTTTCAAATCTTACCTCAATTCCTACCAACATTTTTTCCCAAAAGGAATTTTATAGCATAGAAAAATTGATCATAACCTGGTATCCTAATAGACACTTCATGGTAGGTTTATCTTATCACAGCTGGCCTGGCACATCATAGGTACATAGGAGATATACCGCATCAGGGAAGGTTCCCTTGAATCCTTCCTGCTGTCGTCGCATCATTTCTTCTTGTTGACGCCGCATTTCTTCCTCTCGGCGTCTGCGCTCTTCTTCCTGCCTATAGTCATCAAGGTATTTAAAAGATAAAAGACATTCCAGACCACTTGAATAGGAAGAGTTAAGACAAAGAGAAAAGCCTATTGAAAACCAGCACAGCTTGCAAAGAACAAGGACAACATCCAAAGAATTAAAAAGACCAACATTCAGTTCTTTTTAGTGAAGACCTAAGGTAATTCCTAGAATCAAATACAGCTTTAAAAAATAAGTAAAAAAACATATACCCAAAGGGAAAACCCAAGAAGCAGCAGAAATTCTTGACAGTATTTACAACTTAGCAGGGAGAATGATGATGAGAAATAAAGAAGCATGACTCTTTGTAGTTGTCAGAAAAAAAGTTAAGAAAAGGGTTACAAGACTGGTGAGATGGCTCCTGTGTAAAGGTGCACGCTCTCAAGGCTGACGACCAAGTTCAATTCCTAGGACCAGATGGCGGCTTGTGTCCAGGCATCAAACAAATAAATGTTTAAAAAAAAGTACCTGAGCTCTAGCTGCTTTCGTTTCTGAACCTCTTGGTTATGCAGTTCCTCCATTCTCCGGAGCTCTTCTTGACGCCTCATCAAATCTACCAACAGATTGAGACTTTTTGATTCTTGTTACATATACACAATTTCCCATAAATATCCAGAAAGCAAAGATGTCAACCGGATACAAGCTATAGAGCCATTTTGGAAGAGAAAACCCCAATTGAGATTTTTGAGTGGCCAAATCTGTGGTGCATTTTCATGATTGATGTGAAAGGCCCAGCTCACTGTGGGTATGGTATCACACTCCTTTAACGCCCAGTACTCAAGGTTAGAGGCTGAGAGGCACATGGAACTCTGAGCTCAAGACCAGCCTGGTCTATAGAACTAGTTCCAGAATAGTCAGAGCCACACAGAGAAACCATGCCACAAATAAACA